GGCTCAGGTCTAGGCCTATAATCCCAGCACTATAGGAGGCTGAGGCAGGGGACTGCTTGAAGCCAGGAGTTCCAGACCAGTCTGGGAAACATAGCAAGACCTTGTTTCTACAAAAACGAGTTTTAATTATCTGGCTGTGGTGATGTGCACCTGTAATCTCAGCGACCTGGAAGGCTGAGGAGAGAGGATAGTTTGAGCCCAGGAGTTTGACGCAGCAGTGAGCTATGATCATGCCACTGCACCCCAGCCTGGGTGACAGAGTGAGACCCGTTTGGTAAAGTCTCTTAGGAGAAAAAAAATCATTAGCAACTTTTATACTAAGTCTTTGAAATCTAAGGTGTATTTTGTGCTTACAGCACATCTCGATTCAGATACTAAAGTTTCACTGAAAATACTAGATCCATATCTAGATTTTTTTTTTTTTTTTTTTGAGATGGAGTCTCACTCTGTCGCCAGACTGGAGTGCAGTGGCACAATCTCAGCTCACTGCAACCTCTGCCTCCCGAGTTCAAATGATTCTCCTACCTCAGCCTCTCAAGTAGCTGGGACTACACGCGCACGCCACCACGCCCAGCTAATTTTTGTATTTTTAGTAGAGACGGTGTTTCACCATCTTGGCCAGGAGAGTCTGGATCTCTTGACCTCATGATCTGCCCTCCTTCCCTCCCAAAGTGCTGAGATTACGGTTATGAGGCACCGCGCCTGGCCTATATCTAGATTTTATAAAATTCACAAATAATAGTTCACGTAGATAACTTGCTCCAAACATGCTTAAAAATTTTCCAGTAACGCACTTTGGGAGGCCGAGGTGGGTGGATTGCCCGAGGTCAGGAGTTCAAGACCAGTCTCACCAACGTGGTGAAACCCCATCTCTACTACAAATACAAAAATTAGCCAGGTGTGGTGGTGCGTGCCTGTAATCCCAGCCACTCAGGAGGCTGAGGTAAGAGAATCACTTGAATCCAGGAAGCAGAGGTTGCAGTGAGCCAAGATCGTGCCACTGCACTCCAGCCTGGGCAACAAGAGTGAAACTCTGTCTTAAAAAAAAAAATTTCCAGTAACTGAATCGAGCATCAGTTTTTACACTGACATGTTAATTCATCAGAATTAAATGAAGTTAGAAATTCCGTTTCTCTGGAGCTCTAGTCACATTTCCAGTGCTCAGTAGCCACACGTGGCTAGGGGCTAGTTGGACAGCAAAGAGATTAAATGGTCCAGGAAGGTGTCACCGCAGAGGTACCATTAGAGCTGAGACCCTAATGAAGAGAAGCCAGCATCTGGCATCACAGGAGCAACTGGCGCAAAGCCCTGAGACAGGAATGAACTTGGCCCCCAAGGAAGCGGAAGAAGATGGAGTTGGGGGTGGGAGGGGGCCAGGTGTTCTAGAAACACAGGCCAGATAAGGAATTGGGGTTTATTCCCACTTCATGCTGGAGATAATAAAAAACACAAGTTCCCCACCCTTGACTTGTGCCAGGATGGCCCTGGGAGTTGGGAAGGCCAAGGGGACAGATATTGACATTGTCTCCACCTGGTAACCCAACCCTGGCACCTTCTCACGCCAGTGCACACCTGCTCCTTTGATGCGTCATCTTCTCCATGTTTGTCTCCCTCTCTAGGATTTGGCATCAGCACTAAATTATGGGATTACTGTTTCCACACCCTCACTCCAGAGAAATCCCACCTGAAGACGCAGTGACAACTCCCACCCGCTCCGTCCTGCCATCGGCCCAGCCTGGGCCCCTTCCTGACCCCCACCCGCCATCCAGACCCCACCAAGACGGTTGGCTTGGCCAGGCAGGATAGGCTGTGTCCAGGGCAGAAGGCGCTGAGGGCACCCTGAGGCAGGACCGCCCTCCTGACCCCTCGTAGGAGGGTCACATCCACTTGGCGGCCAGGTGGCCCTTGGTGACCCGCTTCTTCCTGGAGTGTCCCTGCCTGGAGCTCAGCCCACAGGACCGCTTCAGGACCTGGCCACAGGTAGCCGAAAGGGGAAATGAAGAAAACTGACCCCTGCGGCTACCTGTGTCACCCATGTGCCTTAGCCTCGTGGGCTGCCTGGGAGTGGCCTGCATGGTGCAGCTCCGTGTTCACAGTCAGGGGTGGGTCTGTGAGACCTGTGCTCCCTGTCCTCCCAGCTGTCTTTTCTGGGGGAGGCCTTGGTGGCTCTGAGGTGGAAGAAGAGTTCTCAAAAGAAGAGACAGCATGATGCCTCCCACAGTCCACCCCAGATCCTGGGCAGCCTCTCTGGCCCTGCTAGCTGCCTGTGCCATTGGGCCCAGGGTGGCTGAAGGAGTCCCAGCCCCTTTCTTTAGAACCTGGCAGCTTCTCTAGCCATCCCTTCCCTGCCTCCAGAATCACAGCCCTTCTCGCCAAGAGAGGCTGAGGAGGGTGTTCCACCGCTGGCCGCCCCACCCGTCTCCGCCATTCTCCGCCTCCACCTGGCACAGGTGTCAGCCCCCCCACAGAAGGAGCCTCCCCTCACCTCTCCCTGCCCCCACCCTCTGCAGATGAGGCTCCTGCCCCTTCTTTTTTGTAACCAAAACCCTCACTGCTCCCAGGACGGTCTTATTTATGAACCAGATACATGTTCTTAGTCTGGTTCCAGACCAAGGAGCTAGTCAGGCAGCCCTTTCTAATCCTACGTGTTGAGCTTATGTAAAAGACATTGTTTCCTCCTGTTTTTGGTTCCTTTCTTACCCATAAACCATTACTACTTGAAAGCTAAAAAAAAAAAAAAAAAAAAAGCCCACCAAGTGTAAAGGCTAAAGAGAAGCAGTGTGACAGACCTTGGGATTTGTACTGTTTACTGCGGAGCTATTTAAAGATTTCGGAAAAAATATACAAAACTACGGTTGTGAAATAAAAACTTAAATTGTATATTTTGAAAAATAAAACATTGAAAAGAAACCAAGAAAATGAATTGCTCATCAGACTCCCTCGTGGTTGGGAAGGGGCAGTGGTGTGGGGAAGGGTAGAGAGGGGGGTCGGTCCCCAGGGAGGGGGATTTTAGCCCTGACCGGGATGGGTAGAATTGCTGGGGCCTGGTGATGATTAAAAACTGACTGACTCTCAGCTGGGTGCAATGGCTCAGGCCTGTAATCCCAACACTTTGGGAGGCCGAGGTGGGAAGATCACTTGAGGCCAGGTGTATAAGACAAACCTGGCCAACAGAGTAAAACCCCATCTCTAAAAAAAAAAAAAAGAAAGAAAGAGAAAGGGAAGGGAAGGAAAGAAAGGAGAGGAAAGGAGAAAAGGAAAAAAAAGAAAGGGAAGGGAAGGGGAAGGGGAAGAGAAAAGAAAAGAAGGGAAAGGAAGGAGCTGACTGAGTCTTATTCTCTCACTCGGCTTTATTCTGTTTCTAAATTCTCTGCAGACAGCATCGCCTCTTATTGCCAGCACCTGGGGAGCATTACGCCCACAAACCGCTTTGATTGGCCACTGGGGAGGGATCTCTTCTGGAATTTATCCAACCCCAACTGAGCTTCCAGCAGACTTTCCTAAAACGGAGGGGGTAAGGCCCCAGCAGCAAACCCCCACCGTGGGAACTGGAAGCTCAGGCGCCCGGTCTTGGTGAAGCCACTGCCGCGATGTCTTTCTCTGCCGCGCGATCAGAACCACCTGGGAAGCGTCAGACTGGGCTCCAAGGCCTCGCACTCAGGGTCTAGTTTAGTAGGTCCAAGTGGGTTGGCTCTGGACTCGCCTGTCTGAGGACACGGAAGCGGAAGCAAGCTGATGTGGGGGAGACTCGGGGAGGGAGCCACGAACCCTGCTGTGTCTCCCTGCCCTGTCTCTTGTAGGGACAGCTTTATGCCTGCAGCTCTCAGCCTGAAGGTAAGTGGGACCTATTGGAGCCACCCATCACTCAAGTCCCTGAAGCCTGTCACTGGAAACCAACCCGTCCAAGCAGCAGAATTCATCATCTTTATTTACTCATGGAGTTGAGCAGTTCACCCTAGACCATCACACCCTGAGGGACAGAAGCAGAAGAGGAATGCAGGAGGAGCTCCAAGAGAGTAAACACACACGGCCACAGGAGAAAAAGCTTAAGGTGAGTAAGATTTAACAACAAAAAATATACATATACATATATGGAAACCTTCTTTAAGAAGAGTGAAACAGGCCAGGCGTAGTGGCTCACACCTGCAATCCCAGCATTTGGGAAGGCCAAGGGGGGTGGATTACTTGAGGTCAGGAGCTCAAGACCAGCCTGACCAACATGGTGAAACCTCGTCTCTAGTAAAAATACAAAAATTAGCAGGGCGTGGTGGTGTGTGCCTGTAATCCCAGCTACTCCAGAGGCTGAGGCAGAATTGCTTGAACCTGGGAGGTGGAGGTTGCAGTGAGCCGAGATTGCACCACTGCACTCCAGCCTGGGCAGCAGAGTAAGACTCTGTCTCAAAAAAAAAAAAAAGAAATAAATAAACAGACCAGCATAGAGGCTCACACCTGTAATCCCAGCACTTTAGGAAGCTGAGGCGGGTAGAGCGCTTTAGCTCGGGAGTTCAGACCAGCCTGGTCATCATAGTAAGACCGCCCCATCTCCACAAAAAATAAACAAAATTAGCTAAGTGTAGTGATGCATACCCATAGTCCCAGCTATGTAGGAGGCTGAGGTGGGAGGATCACTTGAGCCCAGGAGGTTGAGGCTGCAGTGAGCCGTGATCACACCACTGCATTTCAGCCTGGGCAACAGAGTGAAATCTTGTCTCAAAAATAAGAGAGTAAAACAAAACTAATAAGAAAGGCCAAAAAATAAGTGAGTTTATAGCATGGTAATGAGAAGATTTAGAAAGTGACAACACTAAACCAAGCCCACCTATTAACAAAAAGATCCAATTGGTGAGAATCTGACAGATTCTCCCAGAGCTCCCCATTGTGCCTTCTCTAACTTTCCGATGGGGTTGGGAGTATCCACAAGGCATTTGGGAGAGAGTGCTAGTCTCACCTCACAGGGACTACTTGCGAGCGTAGAGGAAATTGCCTGCGTTTTCTTTTTTTTCTTTTTTCTTTCTTTTTTTTTTTTTTTCAGACCGAGTCTTGCTCTGTCGCCCAGGCTGGAGTGCAGTGGCGCAATCTCAGCTCACTGCAACCTCCGCCTCCTGGATTCTTCTGCCTCCACCTCCCAAGTAGCTGGGACTACAGGCCCACACCACCACACCTGGATAATTTTTCTATTTTTCATAGAGGCAGGCGTTCACCATGTTGGCCATGCTGGTCTTGAACTCCTGACCTTGTGATCCACACGCCTCAGCCTCCGAAAGTGCTGGGATTACAGGCACGAGCCACCATGCCGAGTCATATTGCCTATGTTTTCACAGAAGGCCAAAATGCAGGAAGGCCCCAAGGTCCACAACACCCAGGCAGTTAGTGCTCATGAAGAAGCCCCCACCTCAGAGAGCATCTGGGGGAGCTGGAGGATTTTGCCATCAAGTGTAAAAGTCAAAGATTAGATGTTAGAGCAAGCACGGGATATTATCAAACTGCCAACATATCTGGCCTGATGGGAAACGCCTGGACCTGTGATGTAGGATTGTGTTTATTCCTGTAGTGGGAGAAACACAAAACCAAAAAAGTCTGATGTTTGCTCTGGGATGGGGCTATTTATTTGTAGAGACAGGGTCTCACTATGTTGCCCAGGCTAGAGTCCAGTGGCAACAATCATAGCTTACTGCAGTCTTGACCTCCCAGACTCAAGCAATCCTCCCGCCTCAGCCTCACAAGTAGCTGGGACCCCAGACATGTGCCATTGTGCCTAGCTAATTTTTAAATTATTTTCAGTAGAAACAGGGTCTGTGTTACTCAGGCTGACCTTGAACTCCTAGGCTCAAGCAGTCCTCCTACCTCAGCCTCCCAGCATGCTGGGATTACAGGCATGAACCATAAAGCTCAGCTAAAAGGGCCATTTAAATTCTGATCAGCATAAAGTAAATCTGCAGATTGACTGACCCTCAGTGGTCCTACAAATTTGCCTCACCTGATTCTCCAGGGATGACCCAGCTACCATGGCCAAGAACAGACCCATAGCCATCGTATTTATTTCTTGTATTGTCAGAGTTCCTCAGCTGACCTGAAGAACTGCCCTCAGTTCTGCTCTGTTCCACTCCCGAGTTGGTTCTGACCTCTGATCTCTGCCCTTGAACTTTGTATGATTTTTTTATTGTGCCCAGCACAATGACTAACTTGTAACAGGGCCCAATAAATGCTTGTCTTGTCTACATCAGAGCTCAGGTGGGGAACTTTAACTGGGCCTTGCCTCCCTACCTGTTCCTGGCCTCTGCTGCCCTCTGGTGGCAGCATGCAGCTGTACCGCATTATTACTGCCCTCAGGGTGACTGTTTTGGAAGCAGGTGTCTGTGATTTCAAAATTCTGGCCTTTCCCACTTTACCTGCTCTCTTACGTTCTTGACTCATCTGCCATTTTTGAGAGGAAGCTGGAACGATGTATGTGAATAGTTCTAACTTTCTAAAAAGCCATAATGGTTGCAAAATTTCAACTGGAGTTTTCTTTACAGTTAGATGTTTTCCCCAAAGACCACATCAGGCTCCAATGAGTAAATCTTATCTATAAAGAATGCTACAAGGTGAATGTAAAATTTGGAAAATTGCAGGACTCCCATAAATGTCTGTCTCATCCCAGACACCTATGGCAAAGAGGAAGAAATTAAAAAGAAGGAATTGTTCTGGCAAAATCAGTGGGGTTGTTTCTCCATTTAGGTTCCCTAAAAATCAAAACCTAAAACAAGCACATGGGTGCAGGCAGTCTATTTGGGAGGTGACTGCAGAAATGAAGAGCAAGAAATGGGGATGTCTAGAAAGGGAGAAGTTGGAGCAATGTAAGGTTGAGTATGTGAGGTTCTCCTACAGATTCTGCAAGGGCGTCTTGAGAAGCATAGAGGAAACCTCAGAATTGTCCAATAGGACAGGAGGCTGGAGTATTTATCCACCAGCTTCCACTCCTATTGCTGAGGACTGTCTTCAGGGACATGGATTCCCCCTCACTTACGGACTTCCCTGGCATGCAAGCCAGGCAGATGCTGGCTTTGGCAAAAGTCCCTGGACAAAAGCAGGAAGACAGAGGTATGCATTTACAGTGGGATTCTATCAGTACAAGTTGAGTATGAGCTTGCTAGGCAGAAACTATCCATTGGAACTGTGGCTGAAATCAAAGCTGAGACAGGTTCACACAGAACCTTCCACCACAGTTGAGGTTAAGACCAGAGGTAGACAGATGGGACATGATGAGGAGAAACAGGTATGTTCGCTATAGACCACAGAGGCTTATATCCTTATGAGTGAACCAGGGAGAAACCCACCTACCCAGGGCACTGCTAGTGAAATCATCTGCATGGAGTGGGTAAAGGGTCTCTTGAAGATGCAGAGCCGCAAGCAGAGTCCTCATGGAGGTCTGAAGCCTGAATTCATGCAAACTGCGTCATCTGAAATACCTCAACCCAAAATGGTAATGTAGAATAGCCCTGGCTGGTGGAGCCACAAGGCTCTCATAGGAAGCAACTAAAATTAAAACTATTCTGGCCACAGTGGCTCACTCCTGTAATCCCAGCACTTTGGGAGGCCAGAGTGGGCAGATCATGAGGTCAAGAGTTCGATACCAGTCTGGCCAATATGGTGAAACCTCGTCTCTACTAAAAATACAAAAGTTAGCCAGGCGTGGTGGCACATGCCTGTAGCCCCAGCTACTTGGGAGGCTGAGGCAGGAGAATCGCTTGAACCCGGGAGGTAGAGGTTTCAGGGAGCTGAGATCATGCCACTGCTCTCCAGCCTGGGTGACAGAGCAAGACTCTGCCTCAAAAAAAAAAAAAAAAACTTGTTTTCTGGAGAAATGTATCTTCAATTCAGGCCTCAAAAAATTCCCACAGATAGCGAGGCACAGTGGTTCACTCCTGTAATCCC